CTCAAGTGCATGTCATGCTAAATTTTAATATATGAGGACAACTGATTTGTACCACCAGGTTATCTCAAGAGAGTTATACTGAGTGAAGGCTGGGCATGGTGGCTCACACCTGTAATCCCAGCACTTTGTGAGGCCCAGGTGGGTGGATCACCTGAGGTCAGGAGTTGAGGACCAGCCTGACCAGCATGACAAAACCGTGTCTCTACAAAAAATATAAAAATTAGCTAGGCATGGTTGCACACACCTGTAATTCCAGCTACTGGAGAAGCTTAGGTGGGAGATCACTTGAACCCGAGAGGTAGAGATTGCAGTGAACCAAGATTGCACCACTGCACACCAGCCTGGGTGACAGAGCAAGACTGTCTCAAAAGCAAATATACATATATATGTGTATATATATATATATAGTTAAAGGTTACATACTGTATGATTGCATTTATGTAACATTGAAATAACAAGACTGCAGAGATAGAGAACAGATTTAGTGGTTACTAGGAGCTCGGAATGGGAGGTGAGGGGTGGTGTGGTTGTAAAGTGGTAGCATGAGGGCGCTGTGTAGGGATGGAACAGTTCTCTATCTCAGGTGTGATTATACAAAGCTGCAAATGTGATAAAATTTCACCCAACCACACACACACACATGCTACATACAAATCCTAGCATTCTCAAGTCCCATTTTGCATACAAAACTGTTGAAACCTGAATAAACTTGGGATTGTATCAAGGTCAGTTTCCTGATGGTGATGGTGTACTAGAGCCACATAAGTTATAACATTGGAGGACTTTATGCAAGCATACTTTGGGTCTCCCTGTGTACTTTTTTTTGCAAATTCCTGTGGTTCATAATTATAGTACTTTTAACATAAACAGTTGGTCAGGCATTGTGGCTCACACGTGTAACCGCACCACTTTGGGAGGCTGAGGCAGGTGGATATCCTGAGGTCAGGAGACCAGCCTGGGCAGCATGGTGAAACCCCGTCTCTGCCAAAAATGCAAAAATTAGCTGGGCATGGTGGGGTGTGCTCCTGTAGTCTCAGCCACCTGGGAGGCTGAGGCATGAAAATTGCTTTGAACCTGGGATGCAGAGGTTGCAGTGAGCTGAGATCACACCACTGCACTCCAGCCTGAGCAACAGAGCAAAACTCTGTTGCAAAATATAAAGCAAAAAACAAAAAAACAAAAATAACCCTACAAACAAAAAGAGCAATGCATTTAGAGTACTTGAGAGAAAGTAAGCAAGAGGAAGAAAATGTAAATTGTCTATAATGTTCATACCCAAGACAACAATCCTTGGAATAGTTTCTCACTTTGTGTATAGACTTGAAACTTTTTAAATACCATTTTATGTTTTAGGCTGGGTGCGGTGGCTTATGCCTGTAATTCCAGCAGTTTGGGAGACAACGGTGGGCGGATCACAGGTCAAGAGATTGAGACTATGCTGGTCAACTTGGTGAAATCCCTTCTCTATTAAAAATACAAAAATTAGCTGGGTGTGGTGGCGTGTACCTATACTCCCAGCTACTACTAAGGAGGCTGAGGCAGGAGAATCGCTTGAACCCAAGAGGTGGAGGTTGCATTGAGCCAAGGTCATGCCACTGCACTCCAGCCTGGGCGACAGAGCAAGATTCTGTCTCGCAGGGGGTGGGGTTATTTTTTAATTAAAAACTTTTTTTCTTTTTCTCCTCAGAAAGGATAAAAATGTTATTGATTAGTAAGGCTGTAGTTTTATGTTGATATTTTGAAATTTTTAGGGTGGTGCTTGTTTGCTCCTGTAACATTATATAAGCACATTCAGTACTGTCAGAAGTAATTGCATTATGCAGTAACGTGACTGCCTCATGCATATATCAGCATTAGTACATATTGTAAAGTTTTCTTTTTTACCAAAAAGCTTACAGCTACCAAGTATTCACATTCCTTAACATTATTACAGAATTAATTTAGAAATTTTCTAGTTTTAAAACTTATAGATAGGTGTAATTAAATTCTTAGAGAGCATTAATGTACTATTTTTAAAACACACAGAAAACATTCTTTATCATTTGCAAAACATGCTTTATCATCTACTCATCTTTGTGAATCAGGTTTTACTTGATACCATGCAATCAAAACAAATTTGATATAAGACTGCCTAATTATCCATGATTTAAAGTTTGTGTTCATCGGAAGAACTGTATTGTTCTCATTATACACGTTCTACGTTAGGGTTTTTTTTTTTGTTTGTTTGTTTGTTTGAGATGGAGTCTCACTCTGTCACCCAGGCTAGAATGCAGTGGCACAATCTCAGTTCACTGCAACCTCCTCCAAGCTTCAAGCAATTCTCCTGCCTCAGCCTCCTGAGTAGGTGGGACTACAGGCATGTGTCACCATGCCTGTCTAATTGTGTGTGTATATTTTTAGTAGAGATATGGTTTCACCATGTTTTTCAGGCTGGTCTCGAACTCTTGACCTCAAATGATCCTCCCACCTCAGCCTCCCAAAGTGCTGTGATTACAGGCATGGGCCACCATACGCAGCCCCATTTGAGCTTTAAAATACATTGATATAATAAAATACTGCTTTAATCTGTTTCTTATGTTATGGATCCACATGAAATTCATTTAGAAAAATGTTCCTGTACTAAAATATTTAAAGTTATTGGATTATGATTTATAAGTTTTATTTTGTAGTTAGCATCTCTAGGGGAATTTCAGGGACACTGTTGCTGTCTTGTGATTATTGATCCTTTTAAAAATCATTGTATTTGAGAAATAAAGTAGTAGAAAATCTATGACACAATAGGGAATTAAAGTAGACAACACACTCAACTGCACTGTGTTTAAATATTTTAATGAATTTCTGTACATTGTGCTAGTGGTTAAGATCTGAGACTCTAGAGTCAACCCGAGTTGAAGTCTTGGCTCCATCACTTTATCTCTTGTCCATTTCTTCCTCCATAGAATGAGAGTCATAATAGTGTTAACTCATAGGATTATTGTGAATATGAAGTGCACTAGTAGTACATGTAAACAGTCCTGGTCCCTGGCATAAATACACTCATAAAATATAGTTATTATTATTTTAGAACATGGTTGAGATCTACTTTATGTTTAATATGTCTTTTCCTCACTTAACATATCGTGGCTGGGCACAGTGGCCATCATCCCAGCACTTTGGGTGGCTGAGGTGGGTGGATCATCTGAAGTCAGGAGTTTGAGACCACCCTGGCCAACATAGAGAAACCTCATCTCTACTAAAAATACAAAAATTAATTCCTGTGAAATGGGGAGTGAAGAAGCCTCTGTGGAGGGTGGTCAGAGGAGTCAGTGAGTCAGCCTGTGTCGAAGCATTCAGCATTGCGCCAGATACGTGGCAGGAACGCTGGATGCGCCACTCCCAACCCTGCGTTACCTGGCTGTGAGGCGATATAGGTCCAGCAGGGGTTTGCAGAGCCTCTTCTGTGCCCATGAGAATGTGGCCTCAGCCCAGGACAGCAACTGGTGGGCCACCTGGAGAGGGAGGGGACACTGAGAGCTGTCTCAGTCGTCCTGAACTGCACGACCTATCCTTGCTCTCACTTACCAGCTCCAGGGTGACTTTCATGGCCCCCAGGGCTGTCCTGATGGGCCTGGGACCCTCGTGGCCTGGCATCCCGGGTTCCCAGGCCTGCAGCCACTATATGGCTTCCTCTGCCCGCTCCTGCCACACCTCCTCCAGGGGCTGCAGCATCACCTCCAGGTAGCCATCCTTCATTGTGGTCAGGGGCCTTTCAATGGGCCGCCATCACCCACTATGAGGCCTCTGGGCAGTTCAGAGGCCCAGCCCAGTCCTCGAGGAGATATAGGGTCTGTTCCTGGGATTAAGATGGTGGGGGAGTGGGGGAAAAGAAACAGAACAGCAGGCACTGGAGATTGCAGGCAAGTTGTCACAGCAGACCCGAGCTGCCTCTGCATGGCCTGCTCACAGGTTGTCTGGGAACTTGGATTGGGGGAGGGTTCCCACCAATCCTAAAAGTGATACAAGGCTCTCTGCACCTGTTTGTACAAACGTGGTTTATGCTGAACCCCTGCTTGCCTCCTAGGAGTCTGACAGCGTGCTCTGAGCCAAGCAGCACCTGCCAATGTGGAAACCCCACTAAACACCCTGGGTGACATAGTGCTGGGACAGCCAAGTGCATCCCGTGTGAAGGTGCAGGGACTGGAAGAGGACACTGGGTGCTGGCCCTGGTTCCCTAGACTCTGCCTTGGCCCCCTTCCTTGCCCCAACACTACTACCTCCTCTCACTGTAGTCAATGACAGCCACGAACAGCACTCTTCCAAATTCACTGTCCTGTGGGTGGCCATGGGACTCTGGCACAGCAGAGAAGATATGGAGGTGACATTCAACAGCCAATGAGAGGGATGCCCACCCTGGCGTTGGGCAGGGTGTTAGCCCAGGATGGTGGAGAGGCCAGAAGTTCCTAGTCCTGCCAGGAGGGCAGTCGGGGCAGTCACTGTGAGCATTTAACAACAATACAGCCACAAAGAACTCATCGTGGAACCACAAAGAGACCCTGTGGCAGTGAGCTTCACAGAAACAAGGCTGTACACTCAAAAGAAAGCAGGTGGAGGACTGAAGAAACTGAGGCAGAAGGCATAAGTGATATTAGCTTGGAGACCTTGTAGGAATGAGACAGCAGCCCACAAAAAAAGAACGTTAGGTCAGGCGCAGTGGCTCACAATTGTAATCCCAGCACTTTGGGAGGCCGAGGCGGGTGGATCACGAGGTCAAGAGATCGAGACCATCCTGGCCAAAATGGCGAAACTCCATCTCTACTAAAAATACAAAAATGAGCCAGGCATTATGCATGCCTGTAATCTCAGCTACCTGGTGGGCTGAGGCAAGAGAATCGCTTGAATATGGGAGGCAAAGGTTGCAGTAAGCCTAGATCGTGCCACTGTGCTCCAGCCTGGTGACACAGCAAGGATCCATCTCAGAAAAAAAAAGAAACCACCACCATTTGCAGGACTGGATATGAAAAGGAATAAAAATGTACAAAGTTAAATGCATGCTGTAGAAGAACCACCACCTGTTCAGCTGTTGAGCACGCCATCATTCCAACTCAGCAAAAGAACCCCCACTCCGGGAAAAACTAAAAGCGAACTGCTGGTTCCAAAATGCATTTTTGTGGTTGGAGATCTGTGTTTCCCAAGCCCTCCTTCCAGTCCCTGGCACTGTGACAAGCATTTCTCACCCCTGGGGACGTGGGGCTGGAGATACAAGAGGGAAAGTCACCAAGGTTGAGTTTTAGCTGTCTGCATCCTTGCAGCCAGGGCCACAGGGCCATGAGGGGTTTCCTAGCTCCCGCCGTCCACACTGGACTCACAGGGCACGACTCTGCTGCAGTGGCCAGGCTTACCTCCATGAAGTGATTGCTCAGGGAGGGCCCCGAGTCATTCTTGAAGGTCTGGCTGACACGGAGATGCCTCTTGTTGCTGATCTCATCCCAGTGCTTCCCATAGCTCGCCTCCAGTTCAAGTGATTCTCCTGCCTCCAGAGAAGCTGGGATTACAAGCACCTACCACTACACCTGGCTAATTTTTGTATTTTTAGTAGAGATGGGGTTTCACCATGTTGGGCAGGCTGGTCTTGAACTCCTGACCTCACGATCCACCCTCCTCACCCTCCCAAAATGCTGGAATTACAAGCGTGAGCCACTGCATCTGGCCTTGCTTTTTTTTTTTTTAAATTTATTATTGTTTTTTTTAGAGATAAGATCTCCCTCTGTTGCCCAGGCTGGAGTACAGTGGCACCATCTTGGCTCATTGTAACCTCTGCCTCCTGGGCTGAAGCAACCCTGGATGAATAGACATAAGACTGAGGCTGAAGTGCCAGCCCTGGATCCATTCCTATATGGCTATGCTATTGGGAGCAAGTTCATCTCTTTGGGGGTGAGCTCAGGGTACTCAGATGACCACTTTCCAGACTCTGGTGCTCTCTCTCGATGTCCCACCTGGCCTGGGCACCCACCTTGTGGCTGAAGGCTGGGATCTGTGTGCAGTGGAGCTCGTGGCCCAGCTCCAGCCTGTAGGCACTGTCTGAGCCGCTCTCTGTCTGCAGCCTCCGGCTGGTGCTGCACTGATGCACTGGCTGCTTTGCCTGAGCTGTGAAGATCGATTAAGGGACCCCTGCCCCCCTCTGCCAGGCAGCCCTCCACCAGGGCTCCAAGAGGAGGAGGGCCCAGCCCAGCCTGGCCTCAGCCGTATCCTCCCAGCCCTGTGCTCCGCTTCACCTGTCACTCCATTGGAACCTGCACATGGGGAGGTCTTAAGAGATGGAGCAATATCCCTCAACAGACACACCTTTTTTTTTTAGTGAGCAGATACTAAGTCCTACTTAGAGCCCACAGAATGACTAATGGAAAATCCTGTGATGACAGCCTATCTTTGCTCACAGAGCCACAGTCACAGGAAACAGGGCAGGCCCTGCCACCTCCACCTGCCCCACAGCCAGGCGTGTGGTGCCTTACCCAGGAGGCTGTACTGGATCCTCGGGGAGTTGGTCCAGAGTCAGCCCCACTGCTGCAGCAGGCCAAGGGCATGCAGCCCCGCCAGCCCTGGCACGAAGAGCTCAGCATCCAGGGCGGCCACCTACCGTCCATCCTCCTCCTTCCTTTCCAGCCGTGCTGCAGGGAGAGAGAGCAGGCAGGTGAAAGGGTCAGTCACCAGGGACCAACACCCCCAACCCCAGGCAAAGAGGGGACTCAGGATACCCCAGGGGTCTTGGTGTTGTACGCTCCTTGAAGAGTCAACACCTGTGCCTGCTCAACCGGCCACCGACAGGCCTGGTCATGGCTCACTGCAGCCTTGACCTCCCAGGCTCAATGGACCCTCCGACCTCAGCCTCCCAAGTAGCTGGTACTACAGACATGTGCCACCACCTTGACTAATTTGTGTGTGTGTGTGTGTGTGTGTGTGTGTGTGTGTGTGCACGCGCACGCACGTGTGTTGGTAGAAACAGGTGTGTCACTATATTGTCCAGGCTGGTCTTGAACTCCTGGGCTCAGGCAATCCTCCTGCCTTGGCTTCCCACAGTTCTGGGATTGTAGGCATTGGACACGGTGCTTGGCCCAAGAATAAAGTAGAATGAGGCCGGGCCCAGTGGCTTATGCCTCTAATCTTAGCACTTTCGGAGGCCAAGACCGGCAGATTTCCTGAGGTCAGGAGTTCGAGACCAGCCTGGCCAACATACTGAAACTCCGTCTCTACAAAAATACAAATACAAATAATAATAATAATATTAGCCAGGTGTGGTGGTGGGCACCTGTAATCCCAGCTACTTGAGAGGCTGAGGCAGGAGAATCACTTGAACCCAGGAGACAGAGGCTGTGGTGAGCCAAGATTGCACCATTGCATCCAGTCCCAGCAACACTGTGATACTCTGTCTCAATAAAGAAAGAAAGAAAAAAAGAATGAAAATGAAATAGGACAAATGACAAAAGAATTAACCACACATCATGGGTTGTTGAGTAAATTTCACCTTCTGAAGCTTTTGCTTCTGTAACACTGAAGGTCATCTAGAACACACAGGTGGAAATGGGCCAGCTGTTATGACTCCCAAGCACCCACATGAGGTGGTCAACAGCCACCGCTTTAAGTGCCCCCAGCCCCAGCTCCTGTCCTTATCTTGGAATCTTTCAGAACACATAAGCGGCACACCCAGTTGTCACCACCCTGGCTCTGGCCCAGGGCCAGCACCTGCTCAGCTTGTGAGTGTGTGTTTTAAATGCCCCGTGTATTTGAGGTCAAAATATTACATGTGTTTCTTACCATGGGTGAGAATAAAAACAGCCCAAAATCTGCTATTTGAAGGTTTGTGGGGGCAGTTGGAGGTTTTGGGAGGTTCTGGGGGTTCACGCTGAGCCTGCGTCTGTCCTTAGATGGGATGTTGATATTGAGAGGCTGGGGTGATGAGGACCATCAGGAGGCATTTGGCCCACACCGTAGCCTGGTCATGGAGGAGATGGGGCAAAAGAGGTCTCATCTTCTACCTGTCATGTGGGCCTGGTCACTCAGCAGATGGTTCAGCGATGTGGAGAGGCCAGCTTGCTGCCCGCCTGCCATGTGAGGTTCCCTGTAAAGAAGACAGGGATGACCCCATCACCATTTTCATCTCCAGCTGCTCCTGGAACTGCTCGGCCTTGCCGACCATGGGTGGCTGCAGGTCACTCTTGCCCTGAAATGACAGGCTTGGCCAGCAAGCCCAGCCATGATCACACAAGCTGGGACCGAAGAGAGGACTGTCTCCCTCTGTCACCCAGGCTGGAGTGCAGTGCCAGGATCCTGGTTCACTGCAACCTTGGCCTCCCGGGTTCAAATGATTCTCCTGCCTTAGCCTTCCAAGTAGCTGGGATGACAGACACATACCACAGTGCCCAGCTAAATTTTCTATTTTTAGTAAAGACAGGGTTTTGCCATGTTGGCGAGGCTGGTCTCAAACTCCTGAGCACAAGCGATCTGCCCGCCTTGGTCTCCCAAAGTGCTGGGAATACAGGTGTAAACCACTATGCCCAGCCCTTCCCCAATTTTTTAAACTCTGGATTTCTCAAAATTAGAAACCTGTGTTATAAACCCAGACAGAAATACAAAGGACTTCTCTTCTCTCCTTGACAACCCCCTCCTTGGATCCGTCAGGAACTCAGTCGATCATTGCTGTGGAATGTGACTAGAGTCAACCCCATCTGCCACCTCCGCTGCACACCAGTTCCAGCCCTGGTCATAGAGCCTGTCTGACTGCAACATCCTCCTGGCTCTCCTGGCTCTCATCCCACCGCTGGCAACTGATCTCCACATGGTGACCAGACACGTCCAATGATGTCACAGTAGCATTTGTACCGTACAATCCAAAGTCCTTGAGGACCGTGAAGCCAGAATTTTGTTGGTCACTGGTGCAGGCACTGGCAGGTGAGCCACGGGGACAGCTCACTATACTCGAAGGCCCCACATAGGAGATCCTCTAGAAAAGCCATGAGCAACTACAAATGCCATGTTTGATAGCCACGCCAACCTGCAGACACACCCCACACACTCCTCTGACAGCCACTAGTTAGTCAGTTCACCCAAAAGATGTCAAAACAATACTCGCTATTACCAGACCGTCACTACTTAATGCTGTGTTTCCCTGGTCCCCACCGACATGTGTGCAGATGTGTGTGTACGAATGTGTATGCATCTGTGTACAGATGGATCTGTACATGGATATGTGCAGATGTGTAGGTATAGAGAGATACAGAAAGACACAGATATGTGTGTACGAATGTGTATGGATGTGTGTGTATGGTGACATGTACATGGATGTGTGTATATGTAGACACGTGTATGAATGTGTGTGTATACAGAAGTGTGTGAGGACGTTGTGTAAAGACGTGTATATATACGGATGTGTGTATATGAATGTATGTGTACAGATATGTCTACATCTGGATGTAGATGCTCAAAGCTCTTCCTGCTGACAGGCACATCCTAGCGCCGGCTTTCTCCAGCATGTATCAGAGGCTGCCCAGTGGTGTCAGAGCTTCCTCAGGGTGCACGTGAGCAAGGTGAGCACAGAATTTATCTCCCAAACCACAACACTTTGCAGTTAAAGAGAGCACTAGTCACAAATGCGTCAGGTCAGCAGGCGTAAACTGGGGCTCTCCAGTCAACCCAGGACCCAACCCCCACACAGCAGGGCAGGGGGTGCCAAACAGAACACTTCCCACACCAACCTTAAATCCCACACACTTTAAGGTTGAACCCAAGCCTCGAACCCCTGGGCCCAGGAATTCGAGGTTGAACCCAATCTCTGGCACTTTGTATTCATGAGCTCACCTGCCTCACTTTCCTCATCTTGTATGGGGTTACAAAGAGGACTTGAAGAAGGGGCCTCCTGTCTGCTGGAACAGGCTCCAGAAAGTTACAGAGCACTGGCTGTTACTGTAGCTGTGATGAGTCTGGGGCGGATGGAGCTAGAATTTCTTCAAAGACAAAGAAACATTTCCAGGCTTCAGAGAGCTCTACAGGGAGCAGCAGGAAGGTCTGAGGGGAGGTACAGGCAATCTGTGCTTGCACATTTAGCAAATAACAAGACATACGAGGGCCCCTGGGAGTTCTCTAAATGAGGCAGAAATCTCAGCCATCAGACAGGTGGGGCTTTAGGAGGAAGATGGCTCTCCCCTGACATGAGTCTTCTCCCTATCCAGGCTGACGGCACAGGTGGAAGTGGAGAGGGTATTTATGCAGCAAGACATCCAGCCCTGACTTCAGATGCTCCACTCCAGCCCTCTGAGAAGACACTGGAAACTGAGGCAGAATCAGGAGATCCGCTGCTGAACATGCCCAGTGGTCATGCCTGGCAGGATCAAGTCTAAAGCTGCTATTTGTACCCTGACTGGAGTGCAGTGGTGCGATCTCGACTCACTGCAACCTCCACCTTCCAGATTCAAGCAATTCACCTGCCTCAGCCTCCTGAGAAGCTGGGCCTACAGGCGTGCACCACCGCACCCAGCTAGGTTTTGTATTTTTGGTAGAGACAGGGTTTCACCTTCTTGGACAGCCTGGTCCCAAATTCCTGACTTCGTGTGATCCTCCCACCTCGCCTCCCAACATTCATACCCTTTTTGAAGTCACCGATCTGCTTGAAAAGTGATAGAAGTTTTAAATCTTCTCCCCAGGATGGAGGAGACAGACACAAAACTTCAACACAATAACGAGGGCTTCAAGTGACTAAGGTCCATCCAGGTACCCTTGGATAAGAACCCTTGAAAAGCACCTACTAAGATGAAAATGAGCCAGGACAACATAGTAAGATCCATCTCCACAAAAAAGAAAAGAAAAGAAAAGAAAAACAATGGAAGGGCATGGTGGCATAGGCCTTAGCCACAGCTACTTGGGAGGCTGAGGCAAGGGGATCGCTTGGGCCAAGGGGTTCAAGGCTGCAGTGATTTAGGATCATGCCATTGCATAGAAGACCTTGTAAAAGAAAGGGAAAGTGGGGGAGAGAGAAAAGGTGGGGGCAGAGAGAAAAGGCGGGGGAAGGGGCGTGTAAGGGAAGAAAAGAGGTAGGAAGAGGAAAAAAGAGGGAATAGAAGGACGGAGAGACAGCAAATTATCTGTTCACCACAGAAAAATTGTAAGAGAGGAAACCTGGGAAAAACTCAGGAGCACTTCATTATGAAACTATCTGAAAATATTCCATTCCATGGACATTCGCACTACACGGGAGACACCGATTTTTTTAGGTGGATACATTAACTCCATGTGCTGACTCTGTGCATAGATCATCTCGGAAAGGAATCACCAAAGAAACCCTAACAGTGATTGGCTTTCAGGAGGGGTCGGAGAGCAGCTTTAAGGCCGCACCAGCACTAACCAATATAACTTTTTGCAATAAGGACCATGTTTCTGGGCCATCTGCAGCTGTGGAGCACCTGAAATGTGGCCCAGGCAGCCAAAGAACCAAATCCTTCATTTTCTTTAATGTTAATTTATTTAGATTTCTTTTTTTTCTTTTTTGAAATGGAGTCTAGCTCCGTTGCCCAGGCTGGAGTGAAGCTGCGTGACCTTGGCCCACTGCAACTTCTGTCCCCCAGGCTCAAGCAGTTCTCCTGCCTCAGCTTCCCAAGTAGATGGGGTTACAGGGGCTCACCACCACATCTGGCTACTTTTTTTTTTTTAGTGGAGATGGGGTTTCACCATGCTGGTCAGGCTGCTCTCAAACTCCTGACCTCAGGTGAGCCACCTGACTCGGCCTCCCAAAGTGTGGGATTACAGGCATGAGCCACCATACCCAGCCTCACTTAGATTTCAATAAACACATGTGACACTGGCTGCCATATGGGAGACTCAGTTCTATACTCTTTCATAGTTTTTGAACTTTAAATCATTTAAATGCATTGCCTATTTTTTTTTACTTGTAGAACTTAATAGAATAGTATTTGGATTGTATTAATCTAAATGAAATCTACCATAGAATTTAAATTGTACCAGCAAATGCTGATATATAAAAAGATTTCCAAGGGGTCTGTGTGTGTATGTGTATGTGTGTCTTACGTGTGCATGTGTGTGTGTGTGTATATATATATATATATATATATATGTATGAATATTTCTTTTTTTTTTTTTTTTTTTTTTTTTGAGTCAGAGTCTTGCTCTGCCACCAAGTCTGGAGTGCAGTAGTATGAACTTGGCTCACTGCAACCTCTGCCTCCAGAGTTCCAGTGCTTCTCCTGCCTCAGCTTCCCAAGTCACTGGGATTACAGGCACACACAACCACACCCAGCTCATTTTTGTATTTTTAGTAAAGAAGGCATTACACCATGTTGGCCAGGCTGGTCTTGAACTCCTGACCTCAAGTGATCCACCTGCCTCGGCCTCCCAAATGCTGAGGATTACAGGCATTAGCCAGCATGCCCAGCTGCAAAGGTGTATTTTTGAGTAAAAAGAACAAGGTACAAACAAAAAATAGGGAACAGCTGGGGGTGGTGGCTCATTCCTGTAATCCTAGCACTTCAGGAGGCTGAGTTGGGAAGATCGCTGGAGCCCAGAAGGTCGAGGCCGCAGTGAGCCATGTTTGCACCACTGCCCTCCAGCCTGAGTATTGGAGCAAGAACCTTCCTCAAGAAAAATTAAAATTAAAAAACCAAAACCTAAGCATGACGATTGTGTTTTCATGCTGCTTTATAATATGTGCCTTCCTCAAAACTTGTTACGGTATCATCACATCACCCATCTGATGCAAAAAAGAAAAAAGAAAACCTGGAAACTCAGACTAAAAATGTTTGCAAATCTAAAGCATTAGGCATCGTCCTGTGTCTCCCCAAAAGACGCTAAAGCCATATGCCTCAGGGTCTGTGGATATGACCTTATGTGGAAATAGGCTCTTCACATGTGATCAAGCTAAGCTGAGGTAATGAGGGTGAATCCTAATCCCGTGTACCTGGTGTCCTTATAAAAAGGGATATGTAGCCGGGCGCGGTGGCTCACGCCTATAATCCCAGCACTTTGGGAGGCTGAGACGGGTGGATCACGAGGTCAAGAGATCGATAATATCCCGGTCAACATGGTGAAACCCCGTCTCTACTAAAAATACAAAAATTAGCCTAGCATGGTGGTGCACGCCTGTAGTCCCAGCTACTCAGGAGGCTGAGGCAGGAGAATTGCTTGAACCCAGGAGGCGGAGGTTGCAGTGAGCCAAGATCATGCCATTGCACTCCAGCCTGGGTAACAGGAGTGAAACTCTGTCTCAAAAAAAAGAAAAAGTGATATGTGGAAAAACACACCTTCAAAGGGAAGACAATATCAAGACAGAGGCAGAAGACCACTTACAAGCCCAGGAACTCTGGAGACTCTGAGAATCCAGGAGCGAGACCTGGGACAGACCCTCCCTCACAGCCTTCACAGGAAAAACAAACAAGCAATCCAAAACATCTTGATTTCAGACTCCTGCCCTCCAGAACTGTGAGAAATCTCTGTGGTTGAAGCCACACCGTTTAGGGTACATTGTTAAGGCAGCACTGGGAAATGAATGCAGATTTCTTGGGGCATGCATCAACACTTCTGAAGGACATGTGAAACGTGGCATGCTTGAACTTACAATTCATACCTTTCTCTACTCTGAATTCTTTTTTTGAGAGACAGGGTCTCACTCTGTCACCCAGGCTGGAGTGCAGTGGCACAAGCATGTCTCACTGCAGCCTCCACCTCCTGGGCTCCAGCAATCCTCTTGCCTCAGCCTCCTGAGTAGCTGAGACAACAGGCACATGCCACTATGCCTAATTTTTAAAAAATGTTTTGTAGAGATGGGGTCTTGCTATGTTTCCCAGGTTTACCTGGAACTTCTAGCATCAAGTGATCTTTCTACCTTGACCTCCCAATGTTCTGGGATTACATCTATAAGCCATTGGAACTGGCTTGCCTTTTTTTTTTTTTTTTTTTTCCCAAAGACAGAATCTTGCTCTATCACCCAGGCTGGAGTGCAGGGACATGATCTCAGCTCACTGCAACCTCCACCTCCTGGGTTCAAGCAATTCTTTTTTCTCAGCCTCCCAAGTAGCTCAGCTTATAGGCTCCTACCAAAACACCCAGCTAACTTTTGTATTTTTATTAGACACGGAGTTTCACCACTGGGCCAGGCTGGTCTCGAACTGCTGACTTCAGGTGTTCTGCCCACTTCAGCCTCCCAAAATGCTACGATCGTGGCTCACTGCAACCTCTGCTCCTGGGTTCAAGCAATTGTCCTGCCTCAGCCTCCCAAGTAGTTTGGATTACAGGTTCCTGCCACCATGTCCAGCCAGTTTTTGTACCTTTAGTAGAGACAGTGTTTCACCATGTTGGCCAGGCTAGTCTTGAACTCCTGACCTCAGGTGATCCACCTGGCTCAGCCTCCCAAAGTGCTAGGATAACAGGCATGAGCCACTGTGCCTGGCCTACTTCTATTATTATAACACTGCAATAGATAATGAAATACTTACACAACTCACCTTAATGTAAAATCAGTGGGAACCCTGAGGTTGTTTTCCTGAAACTAGATGGTCCCTTCTGGGGGCGACGGGAGACAGTGACAGAATAACAGGCATTGGATTCTCATAAGGAGCATGCAGTCCAGCTCCCTCGCATGTGCTGTTTACAGTAGGGTTTGTGCTCCTATGAGACTCTAACAACGCCACTGATCTGACAGGAGGTGGAGCGCAGGCGGTGATGCCAGCAGTAAGGAGTGGCTGTGAACACAGGTGAAGCCTCCCTCGCCCGCCCACTGCTCACCTGCTGTGCTGCCTGCCCAGTTCCTAACAGGTGAGCTGGGTGCGGTGGCTCACGTCTGTAATCCCAGCACTTTGGGAGACTGAAGCGGGTGGATCACCTGAGGACAGGAGTTCGAGACCATCCTGACTTCACACATCCTGTCTCTACTAGAAACACAAAAATTAGCCTGGCATGGTGGCTCATACCTGTAATCCCAGCTACCTGGGAGTCTGAGGCAGGAAAGTAGCTTGAATCCGGGAGACAGAGGTTGCAGTGAGTCAAGATCATGCCATTGCATTCCAGCCTGGGCAACAAGAGCAAAGCTTAGTGTCAAAAAAAAAAAAAAAAAAAAAAAAAAAAGGGCGAGTGCAATGGCTCACACTTGTAATCCCAGCACTTTGGGAGAATGAGGAGGGTGAATCACCTGAGGTAAAGAGTTTGGGACGAGCCTGGCCAACATGGTGAAACCCTTTCTCTACTAAAAACACAAAAATTAGCCAGGTCTGGTGGTACATGCCTGTAATCCCAGCTACTCAGTAGGCTGAAGCAGGAGAATTGCTTCAACCTCGGAGGTGGAGGTTATATTTATCTGAGATCGCACCGCTGCACAGAGTGAGACTCTGTCTCAATGAAAACAAAAAGAAAAACAAAAACAGGCTACAGACTGGTACTGATCTGTGGCCAGGAGGGTTGTGACCCCACCTGTAGACAATATGTAATGATTAAATCTGGGTAACTGAGACAGTCA